GAGATTTATCTACACCCTCGGCTGACAGTGCACCCACTACCAGGGCCTGGCAAACAGCTCCCTACGTGGCCCTCAGTCCCTGTGGGGCTGGGGCAGGGTAGAACCAGCTGGGGAGGGGCGCTTACAGCCAGGGACAGGGAACCAGGACTCCTGGGTCCCAATCCCAGCTCTGCCCCATGAACCCGAGCCCCTTCCACCCGCGTCGTGTGCCCGCAGGGGGCCAGTACGATCGGCACGGGAACCTGCTGCACTGGTGGACGGAGGCCTCCTACAGCAAGTTCCTGAAGAAGGCCCAGTGCATCGTCAACCTGTACGACAACTTCACCGTCTACAACCAGCGGGTGAGCCCGGGCGCCCCTCGTTGCCAGGGGAGCGGGGCTGGCCTGGGCCCAGGGCGCCCCTCACTGTCCGGGGGTGGGAGTGGGGCTGGCCTGGGCCCGGGGCACCCCTCGCTGCCGGGGGAGCGGGGCTAGCCTGGGCCCGGGGTGCCCCTCGCTGTCGGGGGTCTGGCCTGGCCTGGCCCCTGGGTGAGTGGGGCTGGCCTGGGCCCGGGGCGCCCCTTGCTGTCGGGAGGTGTGGGGGGGTGGGAATGGCCTGTCCCCTGGGTTCCCCTTGCTGCCGTGGCAGGCTGGCCTGGGTCTGGGGTGCCCCTCACTGCTGGGGGACATTCACCTGGGCCTGGGGCTTGCCCCAGATTGCTCCCCCCAGCACATGGGGTCAGAAGGGCTCTGCTCTGAACGGGATACTGAGGCACAGACTGCAGCAGCCAGAGGCAGGGGGTGCGGGGAGGAGAGCAGGGGCTCTGGGTTGTGTCTCTCCGAGCCCCGCTGCAGTGAGTGGAAGGGGCAGTTCATCCTTCTCTCTATGCCAGCCGGAGGTAGTATCTATGTCAGAAGGGGGAGGGTGCTGGCTCCCAGCGATGCAGCCCCCCCCAGGCGCCCCCGCCATCAGCCAACGGCTGATCCCCTCAGGCTGGCCTCCCGGAGAGATGGGCTGGTGGGGGCAGGGGCTGAGCCTGGGAGCAGGGGCTGGGATGGGCCCCAGTTTGAGGTGGTATGTTGGAGGGCTGGGGGTACACCCGACCAGGTCTGTGTGAGCCCCTGCTCCTCTCTCCACAGGTGAACGGGAAGCACACGCTGGGGGAGAACATCGCCGACATGGGGGGGCTCAAACTGGCCTACTATGTAAGTGACGGAGGGCACCCGGCACCCCTCTGCCCCCCACCCCGGGTCATGGAGAATGGCCTGGGGGGAGAGCTGCGGGGCAGCGACCGGAGAACGGCCCGGGGGAGGGGGGTATCTGCAAGGTAGTGACAGGAGAACAGCGGGGTGCAGGGGGGGAGAGCGGGGAGATCTGCGGTGCAGCAGCTGACTGGGAGGAGGCTGTGCTGGCGTTACTCTAGGGGACCCCGTACCCACCCACGCAGAGCACAGCACCCCCGCCACCTCCCGGGAGCCCTGTGGCCACCAGCTGCCCCTCTGCCTCAGCTGGGAGAGGCCATGACCCTCCTGCCACCCCCAGCCAGACCCATTGCCCCGCATTGCACGGCTGCTGGGCCCAGCCCGAGAGCGCCTGGAGACAGGGAGGGGGCAGCCGGGGGTGGGAAGCCCCCCGCACTGAGTGTGCCTGTGTTTTGCAGGCCTATCAGAAGTGGGTGCGGGAGCACGGGCCGGAGCACCCCCTGCACCGCCTGAAATACACCCATGACCAGCTCTTCTTCATCGCCTTCGCCCAGGTAACGCCCCGCCACCAGGGGGCGGTAGTGCACGGCGAGGGGCCCAGAACCACCACCCCCAGCTCTGCCAGTGCCTGTCAGCCCCCTGGCACCCCAGCCCTGGGTCTCTCCTGAGTAGAAATGACACAGGGCCACACTGCAGGGTGGAGTGGGGGCATTAGATAGGGACAATGCTCCCCCGGGGCAAGGCTGGGACCCACCCAACTTGTTTCAGCTCCGCCTGCCCCGCTCTGGCCTTCCCCTGTCCCACAGATCCCGCCGGGAGACCCTGGCCCTGGGACAACTGAAAGGCCCTGGCTGGTCGTTTGGAGCCCTGGCTGCCTCGCTGACCTGGCCCCTGCCAGTCTCCCCTCTGCTGCTGCGGGGGTCTCTTCTCCACCCAGCTCCCCCTGTCATGGAGAGTGGGGGAGTCCGGGCCCTGCACCCCTCTTCCTGGGATTCACCGTGACTCTCAGCCAGCCAGGGAAACGGAAGGTTTATTGAACAGTAGGAACGCAGCCTAAAACAGGGCTTGTAGGTACAGCCAGGACCCCTCAGTCAAGTCCTTCTGGGGGGCAGGGAGCTTAGCCCCCAGCCTCGGGGTTCCCTGCGTTCCACCACCCAGCATCAAACAAACTAAAAACCCCTCCAGCCGCTCTCTTCCCCCCTCCCTCTGCTCCTCCTCTCCTTTGTCCAGTCTCCCGGGGCAGAAGGTGTCACTTCTCCCAACCCCCCTCCTGGCTCAGGTAGCTTCCTTCAAGGGAAGTCCCCATCCCCAATGTAACTCCCCTGCAACATTCCCAGGTCAAATCCGCCCCGCTCCCTGCTCCGTCGCCCCCCCCAACCCTCCGTGCCCCCCACCCCCCGCTGTGGTGCTCACTGTGGCTTCTCTCCCACCTGCAGAACTGGTGTATCAAGAGACGCTCACAGTCCATCTACCTGCAGGTGCTGACCGACAAGCACGCGCCGGAGCACTACAGGTACCTGGGGCCGCTGCACCTGCTGGGTGTGGCCACTAGGAGGTGCGGCGAGTCCCTCTGCTCTGCCCTCTGCCTCGGGACCCCCCAGCCTCTGCACCTGGGTTTGGCTGGAAGCCCCTCGGGGCAGGGCCCAGCTCCACCTGGGGCTCGAATTGTCCCGAGCACGTGGTCAGAGCAGCCAGCAGGGGGTGCAGGGAGCACAGGCCTGGGGTCAGTGGGAGCAGGGCAGGCAGGAGGGAGGGCAGCGGGTGCCCTGCCCCAGTGAGGATGAGAAAGGGTTAATCCAGTCCTGGCACAGGGCGGACTGGGAGCGGAGGGGCGCATGTGCTGGGGTCTCTCGGGCCAGCCTGACTGATCCTGCCCTGGGGCTGGGCCCCCCTGAGCCCACAGGGTTGTGGGGCAGGAAGGGGCTGCGGCAGGTCAGGGTGAGGGCACCCAAGACGGGTGAACCAAGGCCAGGGGCTTGGAGTGGGGTCCCCGGCTGGAGCACAGGCCAGGCCAGCAGGAGGCAGCACACGGGCTGTAATCGGGGCTTGGACCTGAGTGCGCCCTAGGTTGGCGGCCCAGAGGCTGCCACTCCATGGGCACCAGGCCAGGCAGAGCCAGCAGCCCCTCCTCACTGTCCTCATTGTCCATACGCCAGGGCAGGGGGTTAACTCTGGCACGGCCCACTCCCCGCTGGGCTCATGCCCCACCCTACAGGACAGGGCTGCTAACAGCTGCCTCCTCTCCCTCCAGAGGTGGCTGCATTGCTGTGCCAGGTGCAGCACTGCCCTCGGGGGGCTGCCAGCCCCCCTTTCCTGAGCCCTCTCTCCACTCCCCAGGGTGCTGGGCAGCGTCTCCCAGTTTGAGGAGTTCGGCCGGGTCTTCCACTGCCCCAAGAACTCGCCGATGAACCCAGCGCACAAGTGCTCCGTGTGGTGAGCGCCGGCGCCCCGTGGCCATGCCCCTCGCTGCCCTTTGCCTTGCGTGTGCCAAGCCGTCCGTCTGATCCTGCTGCTTGCAGGGGCTGCTGCTTCTCTGCCATCCGCCTGCCCGCCAGCAAGTCTCCGGGGAGAGCCTCTGGACGCCTCTGCAGGGCCGGGGCTCGCAGGGACAGGTGCTGCAGACGAGGTGGCGAAGGCTCCTTTGGCCAGTTCCTCGGGGGCCGATGCGAACGGCAGCAGGGAAACTACAGACTGGGTCCACTTCCAGCTGGGTGTGTCCTGCCTCCACCCCCCCTGGGCCTTGGAGCCAGCCCCCCTCCTCTGGCTCCCCATCGCCAGGAGCCAGCCCAGTGAGCCCTGCCAGTGGCGCAGCCGGGGGGGGGGCGAATCCCCAAAACACCGTCGAGGGGCAGCGGGAGGGACCAGACCTGGGGCAGGCAGGGGACAGGCCCCAGTGCTGCTGGCACAGAGGGGCCAAAAGCTACTGTGGGGCCATTTCTCAAAGCAGCTGGAAGCAAATAGTGCCCGTCCCAGGGCAGAACGCGGTGGCTGTGGCCCACGTCCCGTTCACCCAGCCCTACAGCGCGACGTGGGCCCAGCGCCGCTCCATGCTCAGAGCTGGGCACAGAGGCCTGAGCCCAGGCCCGCAGGGAAGCAACCAGCCAGCGCAAAGGCCCCCATGTGCTTGGGCCACAGGGAAGTTGTGGGGCGGGGCTGGGCTGGGCTGGGGGGCTCCAGGGGGACAGGTGGGTGAGAAATCCCCCTGCCCAGCCGCAGCCCTGAACAGCGCCAGCTGCCAACGCCCCCCAGCACCATGCAAACGGCCGTGGCAGGGGCTGGGCTGTGAGCGAAGAGCTGGCTCCACTCCCTGCCAGCGGCACTCCTGGGCATTGACTCGCTCCCCCTACCCGTAGCAGTTTGGAGCCTCGCTCCAGTGCAGTGCCGCACGGCAGCACAAGGAGGCGCCGTTGGGTTGTCAGGCAGAGCTGCCTGAGCCCAGGAGGCCCCAGTGCTGGAGGGGGAGCCGGGTCGCCCCCGGGCTCGGCCCCTCTTGTACAGAATCGCTGTATGTGTTGCTGCTCGGTATGGTCAATAAAGCCGGCGCTGTACGTGTGGGTGGCTCAGTGCAGGGCAGCTGGGAGGGTGGGGGGGGGAGCCACCCCAGCCTGCAGCTCCGGCCACGCGCAGCCCCACTGCTGCTGTGGCTGGGGAGCAGGGGTGGGGGTGTTACACACATCAGCCTCTGGAGTGTCCCCCCAATGCACACCCAGTGCCTTCTGGAGTATACCTCCCCGGAGTCACCCCTAGAGTCCATCCACCCCCCCACACACAGCGTCCCCTGGAGTCCCTCACTCCCCTAGCACAGAGCGCCCGCTAGAGTCCATCCACCCCCCCACACACAGCGCCCGCTAGAGTCCATCCACCCCCCCACACACAGCGCCCCTGGAGTCCATCCACCCCCCCCCCACACAGCGTCCCCTGGAGTCC